CGGGGCAGTGGTCAAGCAGCCCTGCGGGAAGGAGGCCCGTGGGCCGGGCCTGCCATTGCCTCTAGTTCTTGGGCAGGTGCTGTTTCAACCACTAGGGGGCGCCTGGGCTCCAGGAATGGTTTTTCAGGCTCTTCTTGGAGGAGAACTCAAGGAAGGTGGCCAAGGCTGTGAGAGCCATGCCCAGCGGGGCACCAGAACTACTCTCTCTATCATTGTCCACAGCACTAGGGCCATTCATCGGTTCCTTAAGCCACACATCCAACTGAGCACCAAATTCTGCTGCCTGCCTGCTCTGTATCGTAGCCCCACCCCTGAGCCCCTGGCCTAGGCCAGGTGCCTGTCATCACTCTCCAGGGTCACCCTTACACACTACAGACACCCTCCTGCACCTGGGAGAGAGGGGTCCAAGCTGGTGGGCTCTGTGAGTCCGCCTGGGCCCTGGTGGAGCCGCAGTCTGGTCAGGGAGGCCAACCCTGGAACCTGCAGTGCCAGACAGGGTTTTGGTGCGTGTGTGCAGTGATGGAGGGACAGGCGGGGACGTGCCCACTGCTGCGGGGAGACCCAGGAGGGAGTGCTGACTCTGTCTGGGCCTTGGGGAAGGCCTCCTACCGTCAGCCCTGTTATCACAGTTTCACTTTCTGCTGTTTGAGTGACGGTCAATTGTGGCTTGAAGATAGCAGATGGAAAATTCCAGAAATGAACAATTCATGAGTTTTAAATTGCTTGCTATTCTGAGTGGCGGGGTGAGATCTTGAACTGTCCCTGTGGGTCCTGCCCAGGGCGTGAGGCATCCCCTGGTTCAGTGCATTGATGCCCTATATGCTACCCCCAACCCTCATTAGTCACTGGCTGCCTTGTCCTTATCAGATCCTCTGCTGTGGTGTCACAGCTTGGCAACAGTTAACCCTTATTTTACTTAATAATGGTCCCAAAACACAAGAGTGGTGATTCTGGCAGTTTTATTATTGGTATGTATTTTCTATTTTTATTTTATTACTCTATTATCATTTTATTCTATTTATTATTGTTGTTTATCTTTTACTGTGCCCATTTAAAAATTTTTTAGAAGTTTTATTTATACATTTGAAGGTCAGAGTTACAGAGAGAATGGGAGAGACAGAGAGAGAAGTCTTCCATCTGCTGGTTCACTCCCCAAATGGCTACAATGAGCAGGGCTGGGCCAGGCCAAAGCCAGGGGCCAGCAGCCAGGAGCTTCTCCCAGGTCTCCCATGTGAGTGGCAGGGGCTCAAGTGCTTGGGCCGTCTGCTGCTGCTTTTGTAGGCACATTAGCAGGGAGCTGGATTAGAAGCAGAGCAGCTGGGACATGAACCTGGTGCCCATATGGGATGCTGGCGTCGCAGGCAGCAGCTTAACTCGCTAGGCCATAGCACTGGCCCTGACTATGCCCACCTGGTAATCAGACTTGACCACTGGTATATGCATACTACAGGAAAAACTGTGTGTTTAGGGCTTAGTACTATGTGGTCTCTGGCCCCTATGGGGGGTCTTGGAGCAGACCCCTGGCTCCAAGCTGGAGGAGGCTGTTTGCTGTGGGCCTTGCAGGGTGAAAAGGAGTGCACCAGGCCAGAGAGTTAGGGAAAGGACAGGCAGGACAACGCCATCAGCAAAGGCCCAGTGCCGGGAACCTGCCTGGCTGCCGGCGGAGGCTGGCCACGCACGGGGCTGCAAGACTGGAGTCCGGGCTGAGGCTGGGAAGCCGAGGGTGCCGGCTATGGGGCTGATCTCAGGGGAGAGCCTGGGAAGGCCCAGTCACACGAGATTTTGGAGGCTTCCATAGAACAAGAGAGCAGACTCATCAATAGACAGTCAGGTAGGGGGCCTGCCACTTTAACGCTTAGTAACTCCATGGCGCGACAGCCTGGGCACAGTCTCCCTGCTTCCTCCGAGGGCCCAGTCCTGCCCTCAGCAGCTCCCCATTCTCCTTTGCTCCTGACTCTCTCCTGTCTTGGGGCCCCGGCACCACAAGCAGCTGGGGAAGGCGGAGGGTGGGCAGTGCGGGCTGGATGTCTCCTGGAGAAAGGGAGGCAGGGTGCAGCTGGGGGTGGGGCAGAAGGGCTGAATTTTTAAATATTTACTTATTTATTAGAGAGAGAGAGAGAGCGCGCGCGAGCATCTATCTGCTGGTTCACTCCCCAGGTGCCTGTACCAGCGGGACTGGGCCAGGCTGAAGCTGAGAGCTGGGACCTCCGGCCAGTTCTCCCAGAGACCAAGCTACTGGGCCAGCCTCCACTGCCTCATGGGGTCTATGTTAATAGGAAGCTGGAGCAGTAGAGCCGGGGTGCCCACTGAGGCACTCAGATGTGGGATACGGCCGTTCTACCTGCTGTGCTGAACGCCTACCCCGACTCACGCTTTATACTTAGCGTGTGCATAGAATGGCCCCAATACTTTCCGAATGCCGACCAGGCTGAAGATCAAGAGCTGGGAACTTAATCCAGGTCTCCCCCGTGGGCAGAAGGGACCCAAGGACTCGAGCTATCAGTCCTCCCATCGGCTGCCTCCCAAAGTGCACACCAGCAGGAAGCTGGACTTGTGTGGGGCTGGAGTGGAGCCCGGGCACTCCAATGTGGGCATCTTAACCCCCCATGGATGCTTTGGCCATGCACAGGTCTCAGGGTTTTTTCTCTTTGCTAAGGTTTTCATGCCTGTCATGTCATCCACACCACATTCCCACGGGGCAGGTGCTGCCATTCCCTCCACACAAGGTTCACCCTTGGCCCGTGGACCCCTGGCAGGTGGGACCTCTGATCCCACACCTAGTGCCTCTCCACTTCCTCAGTGCCTCTCGCTCAGCCCAGCGCTATCCAAACCCAGGGTCGCCCTGCTTGGGCGCCTGCACAGGGAAATGTGTCAAGTCGCCGTGAGCCCGTGGCTGCAGCGGCTGGCCTTGGTATTCTCCCCGTCCTGCACACACTCCCAGTGTCTACTCAGATCACCTGTCTCTTCTTGAGTCGGGCTTGGTAGTTTGGTGTCTGTGTCCCTAGCGATCTGCCCCTTTCATCTATGGTATTTATTTTGTTGGTGTAAACGTGCTCCTAGCTCTTGTTTGTACTCCTTATTTCTGTAAAGTTGGTAGTAATGTCCCCCCTTTCATTCCAGATTCTAGTAAGCCAAGTGTTCTCCTCTTTTTCTTGGTTAATCTAGATAAAATCTTTTCAACTGTATGAGTATTTTCAGAGTCAAGTTTTAGTTTCAGTGATTATTGTCTATTGCTCTTATTTCTCTGTTTCACTAGTTTCCACTCCAATCCTTAGTCCTTTCCTCCTGCTTTCTCTAGGCTTGGTTTATCCTTTTTTCTAGTGTGTTCAAGTGAAAGATTAGAGATCTTTCTTTCCTCACTAAGCATTCACAGATACACATTTCCCTCTGATTGACACTTTAGCTTCACCCAATAAGTTTTGGTAGATTGTGCCTTTATTTCCATTCATATCAATGCATTTTTAAATTAATATTTTAATTTATTCTTTGACCATTAGTTATAGGTCATAGTAGTGTGCTGTTTAATTTTCACATATTTGTGAGTCTTTCAACTTTTTGGCTATTGATTTCTAATTTCATTATCCTGTGGTCAGAGGATATACTTTGTTATTTTTTGAAAAAAAAAAAAATTCTACTTGAGAAGTAGTGTGAGAGTAGACTTTTCACTGGTTCTCTTTCCAAAGCCTGCAGCAGCCTTGGGTTGGGCCTGGAGTCGGCCCTGGGATCCAGGGACTGAATGCAGGTCTCCCAGTGGGTGGCAGGCACCCAGCGACCTGAGCCACAGCTGCAGCCTAGGGAGTCAGGAAGCAGAGCTGGGCGTTGAACCCAGGGATGCCAGTGAGGGATGTGGGCGTCTTAGCTGACAGGCTGAACGCCTGCCCTGTCCCTGGGACTTTACTGAGATTTGCTCAATGGCCTAGCACGTGATGTTCTTTGAACATCTGAGGAGAACGTGTAGTTCTTTGTGTGTGTGTGTGTGTGTGTGTGTGTGGTTTTTTTTTTTTTTTTTTTTTGACAGGTAGAGTTACAGACAGTGAGAGAGAGACAGAGAGAAAGGTCCTCCTTCCGTTGGTTCACCCCCACAAATGGCTGCTACAGCCAGCGCTGCACCGATCCAAAGCCAGGAGCCAGGTGCCTCTTCCTGGTCTCCCATGCAGGTGTAGGGGCCCAAGCACTTGGGCCATCCTTCACTGCACTCCCGGGCCACAGCAGAGAGCTGGACTGGAAAGGGAGCAACCGGGACAGGATCCGGTGCCCATATGGGATCCTGGCACCACAGGTGGAGGATTAACCAAGTGAGCCACTGCGCCGGCCCCATTCTTTGTTCTTGATTATGGTGTTCTATAGCCATCTACTAGGTATGGTTAGTATTATACTATTGTTCAAATCTTCCATTTCTTTGTTAATCTTCTGTTCATGATATCCAATATAGAAAGTCAGACTTTTGAGACTTTCAACCCTTCCTGTTCAATTGTGTATCTTTCCCTTCGTTCCTGCCGGTTGATGCCTCTTGCTCTAATTTATTCAACACACGCAGCCAGAGTGGTTTTTAGAAAGAGCGTGTCTGATCATAACATTACTCTGCTGAAATGCTTCAGTGGGTTCCCTGTTCTAACAATAAAACCCCAAATCCTTCACATGGTGGACAAGGCCCTGTTTATCTCCTCTGCCTCTTCTCACGCCCCCGAGCGCCGCCCCCTCTGCTGTCCCGCCCTCCTCACCCCCCCCCCACCATGTGAGGGGTCTTTAAGAAGCTCATAGGAAATGTAGATGATGTAGAAACTAGGCATGAAGGTCTTTCTTTGCACCGGACAATCATCTTCCAATTCGATTTCTCCTGCAGACTTTTTGAAGTACTCTCATACGCTCTAGGCTCGCACCAACCTTTCCAATTGTTCTCGCCCTGTCTCCCCCTTCCCCTCCTCCCACAGTTGTTTTCCTTGCCTGAAATGCTCTTCTGTGCTGCTCTTCTGACTCCCAGCATGCTCAGGGCTCGCTGGATGTCGGACACGGGGAGCCTGTCCCACAGGTCCCCTGTGCTGGTCACATTCTCCCCCGAGTGCTTCACGGAGCAGCAGCCCACGAGGGTGATGATGGCCCAACAGCCCTCCCCACGGAACACAGTCCTGAGAGTGCGGGGCTCCTCCCCAGGGCTAGCATACAACTCGGCTTGTGGGAAGAACCCTATAAACACTGCTGCTGCTAAGAATGGCTGTTCTCTGGAGCACAGAGTGACAGAGGATGTGGGGAGGGGGCTTGACGCTCTCCTCAGAGTCCACGTGCAACCAGGGGAAGAGTTGTGTACGTTCCAGAAAACTCCTCACCGCTGGTGTTCATAATCACAGCCGGGCCTTCCTGTCTGGCAGCTTGGTGGACACATGTCCCAAGGGCAGCTCCACCAACAGCTCTGGTCTTGGGCTGGTGGTCTTGGTCCCTCTTCCTACCCGTCACTCCCGTGATCAATGTCTTGGTGCACACAGAGAGTACCCAGTTCCCTCCTGCTTTAACCTATAATTCTGCCCAAGAGCTTGGGAGCATAGACAGAGACGTTGAAGATTTTTAAAAAAGAAATCAGTGACGCCTAATACTTAGAAAGCACGCTCTTTGTGGTAGACGTGCGTTATTTCAAACACAGGTGCAGTGACTCCAGGTGACAGGTACTTCCATTATCTAAAGTTCCTACATAAATGAACGAAGTCTCAGAGAGAGTATCTTGCTCACGGACGCCCTGTGCATAAATGGCAAAGCTGGGGTTCACAGTCACGTCTGTCTAGCCCAGTCCCCGCCCACTGGAGCTCTGGTCTACGCTGCTCAGGGCTCCCAGCTTTTCTGCAGGGAGGTTTCGGGCTGTCTGACAGGGTTCTGAACTCGGACGCTTTCCTCAGAAGTGCCTTCTGAAACTTGCTTCTTGAAGTAGCTTCAAGGGAGACACTTGTCTGTTCATCTCTTATCAAGAGATCATTGAAAACCCAAGTCTGTGTAGCCAGTCCATGTTTGACTAGCTGTGGGCCTTGCCCTTGACTTTCCGGGTTTTACAAGAACATTATCAGGAAGTCACAATAACAAAACAACAACAACAACAGAACAAGCTGCCTGACCAGACCAAGCAGGCAGTGTGCAAAGCAACAGGGGAGGAAACACACAGAGGTTTTAGGAACTCCAAATCCTCCTGAAGTTTGCTACCTTCTGGAGTTCACGTTTGGGAAATGTTTGTCAAGGGATTTCAATCCAAACAAGGAGGGAGAGTTTCAAATACATCCCCCAGGGTGAGGTGTGGGCCCAAGCTGCCTGCCCTGGACTCCGTGCGTTCTACTGGGTGGCAGCCCCAGACGGCCCTCATGTGTGTCTTTAGCTTACAACGCCCAAATCCAATCAAACACCACAGAAAGACTTCCTGTCATCGAGATCGTTCAAACCCTGCCTTCATTGATGAGAACTGGTCCTGGTTTGCCTTTTAGCCTAATCACAGAGAGAACAGAGAAAGTCATGTGCATTCATGCAAGTGTTTAATGTTATTTATTAGTGCTTGAAGAAAAATCAGGTAAACAAAAATAGCATATAATCCCACTTTCCATAAAAGTCTTGTTAAAAAAAATACAGTAATCCATGTACCTGGTAGTAGGATTTAACCCGTGCAGGAAGATATAAAATAAAAAAGGGCCGGTGCCATGGCTCACTTGGTTAATCCTCCGCCTGTGGTGCCAGCATCCCATATGGGTGCCAGGTGCTAGTCCCGGTTGCTTCTCTTCCAGTCCAGCTCTCTGCTGTAACCTGGGAGTGCAGTGGAGGATGGCCCGGGTGCTTGGGCCCTGCACCTGCATGGGAGACCAGGAGGAAGCACCTGGCTCCTGGCTTTGGATCGGCATAACTCTGGCTGTAGTGGCCATTTGTGGGGTGAACCAATGGAAGGAAGACCTTTCTCTCTGTCTCTCTCTCTCACTGTCTAACTCTACCTGTCAAATAAATAAAAAAAAATTTAAAATAAAATCTCTTTCCCACCACTACACAGTCCATCTCCCAGAAATTTTTTTTTACTATGTTCACTTATACTTTTCTTTTTAAATATAATGTTTTGGGGATTTTATAACCCAGCAAATAGAGTCCTCTACATTTAAAAATTATTTTTATTTTGGAATTATTCCAAGCTAAAGAAAGTTGGGAGCATTTAAAAAAAAAAAACCAAAGCCATTTTTTTTCCTGAGTGATTTGGCTGTAAGTCCCTGACTTGATGCCCTGTCACAGCTGAATACTCTAGAACGTGTTCCTACAATGACATTTTCCTACGTCACCATGATACAGTGACCAAAATCAGAACATGAATGTCAACACGCTACTTCTTTTTATTTTTTTAAAATATTTTATTTATTTGAGAGGTAGAAGACAGAGAGGGAGAGACAGAGAAAGGTCTTCCTCTGCTGGCGCACTCTCCAGATGTCTGTAATGGCCGGAGCTGAGCTGACCCAAAGCTGGGAGCCAGAAGCTTCTTCCCAGTCTCCCACATGGGTGCAGGGGCCCAAGGACTTGGGGCCGTCTTCCACTGCTTTCCCAGGCCACAGCAGAGAGCTGGATCGGAAGAGGAGCAGCCAGGACACAAACCAGTGCTCATATGGGCTGCCAGTGCCTTAGTGGAGGCTTAACCTGCTATGCCACAGCGCTGGACCCTCACCACACTGCTTCTTTCTAATCCTTAGATTGCTCGAGTTTTGTCAGTTGCCCCAGTAGTGGTTTTTGTAGCCAAAGGATCCAGTTCAAAGTCACAAGTTGTATTTAATGTGTCTTTTATTTTTATTTATTTATTTGAGAGGGGGAGAGACAAAGTGAGGGAGAGCCCACTGCCACCACTGGTTTACTTTCCAGGTGCCCAGAACAGCTTGGCTGGACCAGGACCAGAGCTGGGAGCCAAGAGCTCGAGCCAGGTCTCCCACGTGCCTGGCAGGAACCCAATTCCTTGAGTGCCCATCACTGCCGCTGAGGCCCCTCGTTGGCAGGAAGCTGGCGGCAGGAGCCGGAGTGGGGAACTGAGCCCAGGCACTCTGATGCGGGGCGTGGCTGTCCTACCCGTGAGGCTGCACGCCCGCCCCACTGCCACGTGCTTAGTCTGCTTCAGCGTGAACATGTCCACAGGCTTCTCTTGACTTGCATGATCTCACACTAGAAGACGATGGGCAGGTGTCGTGTAAGCTGGCCGCCCGGCCGGGGTTTGCGTGATGCCTGTTCACGAGGAAGCTCAGGCACGCTTCTTCAGCAGGAATATCCCAGAAGAGATGCTGAGTTCTGCTCTCACCCTCTGAGGCTGCACCTCGTTTCTGTGACTCTCGTTGCTATTGGGCACCTGGGTCTCTTGATTAAGTTGGGGTTTGCCAGGCTTCCTCTCCACAAAGTTTTTCTCTGTAATTAATAGTTTGTGTAGCGCCGGCGCCGCAGCTCACTAGGCTAATCCTCCGCCTGCGGCGCCGGCACACCGGGTTCTAGTCCCAGTCGGGGCACCGGATTCTGTCCCGGTTGCTCCTCTTCCAGGCCAGCTCTCTGCTGTGGCCAGGGAGTGCAGTGGAGGATGGCCCAAGTGCTTGGGCCCTGCACCCCATGGGAGACCAGGAGAAGCACCTGGCTCCTGCTATCGGATCAGCGCGGTGCGCCGGCCACAGCGTGCTGGCCGTGGCAGCCATTGGAGGGTGAACCAATGGAAAAGGAAGACCTCTCTGTCTCTCTCTCTCACTGTCCACTCTGCCTATCAAAAAATAAATAATAAATAAATAAAAAATAGTTTGTGTAGAATAATTTAGAACTATATAAATACTCCACTATGCACGAAGCTTCTTTTTTATGAAGATTTTTATTTATTTATTTTGAGAGGTAGGGCTACAGACAGAGAGGGAGAGACAGAGAGAGAGAGAGAGGTCTTCCATCCGCTGGTTCACTCACCCAAAGGCTGCAATGGCTGGAGCTGCACCGATCCAAAGCCAGGAGCCAGAAGCTTCTTTCGGGTCTCCCACGCAGGTGCAGGGGTCCAAGGACTTGGGCTATCCTCTACTGCTTTCCCAGGCCACAGCAGAGAGCTGGATCAGAAGAGGAGCGGTCATGATAGGAACCGGAACCGGAATGGGATGCCGGCACTGCAGGCAAAGGATTAGCCTACTGCTTCACAGCGCCAGCCCTGCCATGTCTCTCTTTTTGTGTTTGTAACTCCTTTTCCCAAAGGTATGAAATCTGGCTTCCAACATTCTTAGTCTGTTTACTTATTTGATTAACCGCCTGTATGCAGTCAGCATCCTATGTGCACTGCCACCCACCTCACTCTGCTGGGCTCCGCATCAGGGCTCCCCTCTTCACTCTGTGTGGTCTCTCTCTTTTCTTTTTCTTTTCTTTTCTTTTCTTTTCTTTTCTTTTCTTTTCTTTTCTTTTCTTTTCTTTTCTTTTCTTTCTCTTCTCTTCTCTTCTCTTCTCTTCTTCTTTTTTTTTTTTTTGACAGGCAGAGTGGACAGTGAGAGAGAGAGACAGAGAGAAAGGTCTTCCTTTTCTGTTGGTTCACCCTCCAATGGCCGCCGCGGCCAGTGCACTGTGGCCAGTGCACTGCACTGATCTGAAGCCAGGAGCCAGGTGCCTCTCCCGGTCTCCCATGCGGGTGCAGGGCCCAAGCACTTGGGCCATCCTCCACTACATTCCCTGGCTACAGCAGAGAGCTGGACTGAAAGAGGAGCGACTGGGACAGAATCCGGCACCCCGACTGGGACTAGAACCCTGTGTGCTGGCGCCGCAGGCAGAGGATTAGCCTAGTGAGCGCGGCGCCGGCCTCTGTGTGGTCTCTGATATCACTTGCTGGGCCACCCCCACCCCAGCCTCTGCTGTGGATGCCTCCCCATCCCACTCAGGTTCTGACCCCACTTGCCAGACCACCGCTCCAGCAACACCTTCCTCACTCTGCTGGGGCTCTGGTACCCGCTCCGTGGACGCCCTCCTCAGAGCCACCATGCTGCTGCTCCCCCCACCAACGGCTGTCGGGCCGAGAAGCATATGTGGCCATTCTGGTCTTCAGATTCGCCCCTATTTGGGAACGCCTGCCTGTTGTCTTGACATCTGATCAGCATCTCAGTTTGGTAAAAATCTGTTGGCATTTCACTTCTACCCTTAGAAT